GAATGGTTTAATGACTTATTGAGCAGCACTGCAGCGAGGTGACTGTGCAGGTGCTGAGGGGTCTGAGCTTCAGCAGACATCAGAGTCACACGAACCCGCAAGAGACAGGAGACAAAGAGAACTCAGACACAACTGAAGGCCTCAGTGATTGCTTTAACAGGAATTCCCCTCCCGTGGGCAAAAAACATGGCACAGAATTTAAGAAGACAAAAATAAGTTGGCTGCTGAACAGATGTAAGTGGTTGTTTCAGGTGTGGTGTAGGAGGGAAACAGGCAAAGAGTCTGGGAGTGAAACCAAAAAGCAAGAGTGCTGGGATTTCAGATAGGTCAAAATAAAAAGAAAGCATAGAAACATTACACTTTTCTGTTCTGTGTTGTTAACAAAGCAGGATAATGTATCGATCTCAGATAATAAAAATGGGATAGCTCTGGGGAATACATACTTCATAATCTTAATCATGTGAAATAGTAAAGAGTTTAATTCTGGATAACCAAGAAAATTCCATCCCGGTTTAGGTGATATCCTTGGATAAGATCTGTCGAAAACACAGAACTAATGTTCAGACACTACACACCTGAATTTCTCCAAGGTATCATCACACTTAGTAACACAGAGCATTTAATTTTAAAAAAGTTTGTATTGTATGAAATCAACAAAGCACATGATACAAAATCATAGAATCATAGAATGGTTAAGGTTGGAAGGGACCTCAAAGATCATCTAGTTCCAACCCCCCTGCCATGGGGAGAGAAATCCTCCACTACACCACGTTGCCCAAAGCCTCATCCAACCTGGCCTTGAACACTTCCAGGGATGGGGCATCCACAACTTCTCTGGGCAACCTGTTCCACTGCCTCACCACCCTCAATGTAAAAAATTTCTTCCTTATATCTAATCTAAATCTCCCCTCTTTCAGTTTAAATCCATTGCCCCTTGTCCTATCACTACACGCCCTTGTAAAAAGTCCCTCTCCAGCTTTCCTGTAAGCCCCCTTTAGGTACTGGAAAGCTGCTGTAAGATCACTGTGGAGCCTTCTCTTCTCCAGGCTGAACAGCCCCAACTCTCTCAGCCTGTCTTCATAGGAGAGGTGTTCCAGCCCTTGGATCATCTTCGTGGCCCTATCACCATATGTGAGGCACTGGTTCTAGACACATGAGAAAAGGAAGCTGGGAAGTGTATCTTTGGGAACGAATAGCAGTGAATACAGAGTTGTGGGGTCATACTGTGCATTTCTGGAAAAAACTCCGTGCTCCTCAGGAGCCTTCAGACTCTGAGGCAGAAATGTTCTCTGCCATCTCTGGCAGGAGCAGGTCCTGCAGTTACACTGCCAGTGGTAACCAGCACCATATCCACAAGGTTTCTGTCAGCTCTCACGACTCACCGCTGTGGCCTTCAGCCATCCCCGGGAGGCTTCACTCACTTTTACAGACCCATTGCTCTCCTCAGGCTCAAAGGTCACATTGCCCAGGGACAGCACACCAGCCAAGATAGCCTGCATGTCCACTTGCTCCTAAAACACAAAAGAAAGGTGACTGAAAACCTATCAGCATGTAACATACACACCATGGAGGCCCCAGATGTCAAGAGAGGTGAGGGAAAGGCACAGGCAGCCTGTAGGAAGAGGCTCTACACAGTCTGACAGACTTAGGTGGTTTGGAAGCAACACGGAAAACCCAAAGAGGAGAGAAATAGGACTGATCCTCAAAACAGCAGCCAGACAGAAACCCTACACCTGCAGGAAGCACAGACAGAAATTAAACGACCCCAGAACTGACCTGCTCTTGGAAGCCCACCATGTCAAGGGCATTGCACACCTCCTGGTATTTGTGCTTCCAGCGTTGAGCTACATCCTGTGTACCAAATCGTCCACTTATGTACCTGAGAAAGTGTATATCCCATGCAAAACTGTCACACAATCAGCACTGCAAGTCAGTCCTACCCCAAAGGAACAAAGCAGATCAGCAGCAGGGGACATGTGAAAGGGAAATAAACTTTTCCAAGGTAATGCAACAAAGAACAGACTCCAGACCTCCCAGCTTCCATGACGACCCATAAGATCTCTTCAAGCAAGTCCATTCAGATCCCACTCCAGCTTCCATTCATTTGTTTACCTGTATCAGGTTCCACAGATAAGAGCCACCACAGGGCAGAGGCATAGGCTCCATTATGCTGCTTTCCCCTCCATCCCCCATCATGAAGACTAAACTAGGGTCTGCCTTTGAAGTACCTGTAGAGTGAAGGATCCAACAGCCCAAACATCTCCTTTTCCTCTGAAGACAGTCCAGCAAACATGTAGTAGAAGATATGGAAATTCCTCTCTCCAGCATCTTGTTGTACTACCCGTGACTTCTCTAGCAGGTACTCATTCAGCTTTGCACCTCGCACTGCACACAAGAAGGCGACAGGATAAACATTGCACTTGGGGACATGAAGCTAGACTGAGCTGTCCTGCATCTCTTATTTGGTGACGGGAGGGTGGAATTGTTTAAAATAACTTTCTTGTGTACGACACCCTCTAGGCTGCCCAGCACCCTGAAAAAGGGCTTCTCCACACTTTCCGTCATCTTAGAGACATCTGCTTAGCAGATGCCCTTTAGCAGCAACCCAGGCTTCTGGCACCATACTGATACCTCCTCTGCACCATCACCCCCATATCGTTCCCGTACTCCCACACTGTCCAAATCCAGGCCTTATCCTATAGATGTGGTTGCTGTATGATTTTACTTAATCTCACATCCTTCCCACAGGGAGTCATGTGAGTCATGTTACATCCTTCCCACAGGGAACTGGCAGATGAAGTTGCTAAGCCACTATCCATCATATTTCAGAGGTCATGGCAATCTTGTGAAGTTCCCAATGACTGGAAAAGGGGAAATATAGCCCCCATCTTTAAAAAGGGGAAAAAGAAGACCCAGGGAATTACAGGCCAGTCAGTCTCACCTCTGTGCCCGGCAAGATCATGGAGCAGATCCTCCTGGCGACTATGCTAAGGCACATAGAAAACAAGGAGGTGATTGGTGACAGTCAACATGGCTTCACTAAGGGCAAATCCTGCCTGACTAATTTGGTGGCCTTCTATGATGACATTACAGCATTGATGGATAGGGGAAGAGCAACTGACATCATCTACCTGGACTTATCCAAAGCATTTGATACTGTCCCACATGACATCCTTGTCTCTAAACTGGAAAGACATGGTTTTGATGGATGGACCACTCGGTGTGGATAAGGAATTGGCTGGATGGTGGCACTCAGAGTTGTGGTCAACGGTTCAATGTCCACGTGGAGGCCTGTGACGAGTGGTGTTCCTCAGGGGTCAGTATTGGGACCAGTGCTATTTAACATCTTTGTTGAAGACATGGACAGTGAGATCGAGTGCACCCTCAGCAAGTCTGCAGATGACACCAAGTTGTGTGGTGTTGTGGACATGCTGGAGGGAAGGGATGCCATCCAGAGGGACCTTGACAGGCTGGAGAGGTGGGCCTGTGAGAACCTCATGAAGTTCAACAAGGCCAAGTGCAAGGTCCTGCACGTGGGTCGGGGCAATCCCAAGCACAAGTACAGGCTGGGCGGAGAATGGATTGAGAGCAGCCCTGAGGAAAAGGACTTGGGAGTGCTGGTGGATGAGAAGCTCAACATGAGCCGGCAATGTGCACTGGCAGCCCAGAAAGCAAATCGTATCCTGGGCTGCATGAAAAGAGGTGTGGCCAGCAGGTCAAGGGAAGTGATTCTGCCCCTCTACTCTGCTCTTGTGAGACCCCACCTAGAATACTGAGTTCAGCTCTGGAGTCCCCAACATAAGAAGGACATGGAGCTACTGGAACGAGTCCAGAGGAGGGCCACGAAGATGATCCAAGGGCTGGAACACCTCTCCTATGAAGACAGGCTGAGAGAGTTGGGGCTGTTCAGCCTGGAGAAGAGAAGGCTCCACAGTGATCTTAAAGCAGCTTTCCAGTACCTAAAGGGGGCCTACAGGAAAGCTGGAGAGGGACTTTTTACAAGGGCGTGTAGTGATAGGACAAGGGGCATCGGATTTAAACTGAAAGAGGGAGATTTAGATTAGATATAACGAAGAAATTTTTTACATTGAGGGTGGTGAGGCAGTGGAACAGGTTGCCCAGAGAAGTTGTGGATGCCCCATCCCTGGAAGTGTTCAAGGCCAGGTTGGATGAGGCTTTGGGCAACGTGGTGTAATGGAGGGTTTCCCTGCCCATGGCAGGGGGGTTGGAACTAGATGATCTTTGAGGTCCCTTCCAACCCTAACCATTCTATGATTCTAGGATTCTATGTCAAAATGTCACCCTCCACAAGTTCTGGCTACTCAGTCCACTCCCTCTGGTGCCTAACCATCCCCCAAACTAGAAACTGCCCTCGACTTTACCTGTATTCTTCTGGAAACGCAGCTGTATATATTTTCCAAAGCGGCTGCTGTTGTCATTCATCACAGTCTGGGCATTGCCAAAAGCTTCAAGCAATGGATTTACCTAAAATAAGTGAGCAAGTAGAACAAGCATTCTTCAAATTAAGTGATCCAATCTAACTTAATTTGGAAAAGTTTAACTTTAGCATCTACTATTCAGCATTCAGTTGGATTAGGAACCACTCCCTGAGTTCTCAAAAGCACCTAATTTATCATATCCTGGATAAAGGGATTGAAAGAGGCAAATATAACAAAGACTAAGCAGCATGAGATTACCAAAAATAAGCACAATCAAACTTATTTGATCTCAGTAAGATCATTGACTCATTTGTTAAAAGATAAAGTTGGTGTAACAGATTTCCACAACGCATCTGACACAGTATCAGTAGATAATTTGACTGCTATACTACAACAACAAACAAGATAAACATGTCACTCAATGAATATAAGCATGACAACTCAGTTACTGAAATTTGTAGACAGCATAAGGCTCAGGACAGCGAATTATAAAAAAACTAACAGAGCAATTGGAGCAGCTTGGTAAACTGGAAGCACACAAGGTCACAAGGACAATTTTTCCATGTTTGAGTGAAGAATGCCTGCTGACTGGAAGAACAATGCCTTAGGGTACACGCTGGGCAGCCTGTTACAGCATGACACTATAATCCCAAAAGGGCTAACCTGGCCCTTGGTTATATCTCCAGGAACCAAGTAAGATGACTGTTATTCCTTCCGTCAACTCTAGGTTTTCCAAAGCCAGCTCACCTGGATTGAAGCGAACTTTGTTTCCCATGGAAGAATTGCAGGCTGGCTACAAGCATTGCCAGGCAAGTCTTTCAGGGTGGGTTAGGCCAGGCACTACGCTGAGCAAACACAGCTATCCTGCTTCCTGAACCTGCTCAGGTCAGAAGCAGCGTGGCAGCGTGGCCCAAGCCAGCTCTAAGTGGAGCCAGCAGGTATATCAATGCCATGTTCCCACAAGGGAGCACAGGCATTCACCTCAGATCCACCGCGGATGTTACCACACGGAAATAACATCCCATTCCAGAGCCCAAAGCATAGTACAGTTTACATGGCAAGCTTTTGGTAGTGGGGGGACTACAGGAGTGGCTGCTGTGAGAAGATGCCAGAAGCTTCCCCCACGTCCAACAGAGCTAGTGCCAGTCAGCTCCCGGACAAGCTCACTGCTGGCCAAGGCTGAGTCACTCAGCGATGGTGGTAGCACCTCTGGGATAACATAGTTAAGGGGAAAAAGTTGCTGTGCAACAGCAACTGCAGCCAGAGAGAGGAGTGAGAGTATGTGAGAGAAACAGCTCTGTAGACACCCAGGTCAGTGAAGAAGGGAGAGGAGCTGCTCCAGGCGCAGGAGCAGAGATTCCCTTGCAGCCTGTGGTGAGATGGCAGGCTCTCTCCCTGCAGCCCATGATGGTCCGTGGTGGAGTAGAAATACACCTGCAGCCTCTGGAGGACCCCACACCAGAGCAGCTGGATGCCTGAAAGAGGCTGTGACCTCGTAGAGGCCCACTCTGGAGCAGGCTCCTGGCAGGACCTGTGGCCCCGTGGGGGACCCACGCTGAAGCAGTCTATTCCTGAAGGACTGCACTCCACAGGAGAGACCCATGTTGAAGCAGTTCGTGAAGAACTGCAGCCTGTGAGAAGGACTCATGTTGGAGAATTTCGTGGAGGACTGTCTCCCATGGGAGGGACCCAGTGCCGGAGCAGCAGAAGAGTGTGAGCAGAAAGGCGCAGCAGAGACGTGTGACCAACTGATTGCAATCCCCATTCCCTGTCACCCTGCACTGCTTGGAGGGAGGATGAAGAGAAATTGGGAGTGAAGCTGAGCCTGGGAAAGAAGGGATGGGGTGAGGAAAGGTGATTTAAGATCTGTCCTTATTTCCCATTATCCTATTCTGATGTTAATTGGCAGTAAATTAAATTAATCTTCCCCCAAGTCGAGTCTGTTTTGCCTATGATGGTAACTGATGGGTGATCTTCCTGTCCTCATCTCAACCCATAAGCCTTTTGTCTTATTGTTCTCCCGCTGTCCAGCTGAAGAGGGGGAGTGATAGAGAGGCTTAGTGTGCACCTGGTGTCCAGCCAAAGATAACCACACACAGAAAGGTCTCTCTGGCTTTACAGGAAACCTGAAAACAGACTCTAAAATAAAGTCATCCAAGAACTCACTCTGCTTAATCCATCGCATGGAAGGTTAAAGTATGATCTGCTCAAAAAACCTCACAACTCCTTGGAGAGCAATTCAAGCGGAAATACTTCAGACCAAAGAGACAAATATGTTTAAAAATCAGCTAGCAAAGGTATATGAAGGTAGCAAAGATTAAGTTAGCCAGTTAGCTGGTACGTGCCTGAGAGTAAGTGTAAGCAGCCACCGAAAGGTGACTGAAGGCTGTGTGGATTCTCCATCCCTGTGTACCATTAAAACAAGACTTCATTCTTCTAATAAAAGTCCTTGTTCTACCTCAAACAGGAAATTATTCAGAGAAATGCTCCTAAACCCTCATCACAGAGAATGTGATAAATGATTACAACAGTTTTCTATCCTTGAAGATAACATTACATTCCCAGCAAACAGAATTACTGACCTACCAACCCTTCCAATTTGTGGTCAGCTATTTCACCATCCTTACCCACTGTTTTCTTATGTGTCTTATGTTTTGCTCTGTACCTTCCAGTGGTGATTCATCAGCAGGCTTCCTGAGCCTAACACAAGTTGTCTTGCAGCAGTGTTGCTTCTGCATCTTCAAGCACCATCCTGTAATGACCTACCTGAAGGATCTGCTGCTCCAGCTGCGAGTTGCCTTTGCACAGGTTCATTATGTGCTGCAATAATAGCTTTGTACTCTCTGTTTTCCCTGCACCGCTCTCCCCGCTGCGAAGAAAAAGCAAAGGAAAATTCAGCAGCTGTAAAGTATAGCTGGTTTGCCCCTTATGTCTTAGTGCCCCATCACTTAAGAGTGCTCTCCTGCCCAAGAGTTCCACAACTTTTTCAGCTAAAGTGTGTGTGTGAGTACAAATTCGCACCGGACCTTTATACAGTGGGTCCCACAAGGTACCGATCCCTCTCCAGGGGAATTTTTCCCCATCTGAAAGGGGGTACAGATATATCCCATGCTGTCACTTCTGGATGGGGTGTACTGGACAAAACATTTGCTTTGCTTTTTTTAAAAAAAATACATCTAACTTCTGGAAAACAACCTGCTTCAAAAGTGATCTGACACATCGACTCTTCCACATACACTGGAGTCGACAGCTTCCTCTTTTTTCAAAGAAATCATATCTCACAACTGAATAACTGATCTTGAGATACTGTGGCAATTCTGAATCTCAGGTGCTTCACATATTCACATGCCTCAGGCGGTTGAGAAGGCGGGCTGCAGAGCTGCACGCACACCCGCAGCGGCAGCGGTGCACGTCACTGCCGTCACAAGTGCCCAGCACCTCCGCCTCCAAGTCAAACAAGCAGAACTTGGAAAGTGCAGTTTCCCCTGTCCTGGGAGAGGGAATATACAATCAGTGAAACAACATGTCCTGGACCGACAGCATACTAGCAGAGAACTTAGCGTTTGCATAGAAAAAAAAAAAAAGCAGGAAATGTTGAAGGTACACTTGAGGGCAGGTCTCTGTTTCCCCATCTGACCTTTGAGCATCTGGTGTGGCTTTACTGCTTTGTAGCTCCCAGTGGCTCTGCACTTGGGATCAGGTATGTGTCACAGGCGGCTGAATACCTCAAATGCTACAACAGATATCTGATCTCGTGAGATATCTGATCTTCGTGAGACCCCACCTGGAATACTGCATTCAGCTCTGGAGTCCCCAACACAAGGAGGACATGGAGCTGCTGGAGCAAGTCCAGAGGAGGCCATGAAGATGATCCAAGGGCTGGAACACCTCTGCTATGAAGACGGGCTGAGAGAGTTGGGGCTGTTCAGCCTGGAGAAGAGAAGGTTCCATGGTGATCTTATAGCAGCCTTCCAGTACTTAAAGGGGGCCTACAGGAAAGCTGGAGAGGGACTTTTTACAAGGGCAATAGGATGAGGGGCAATGGATTTAAACTGAAAGAGAGAAGATTTAGATTAGGTATAAGGAAGAAATTCTTCCCTCTGAGGGTAGTGAGGCACTGGCACAGGTTGCCCAGAGAAGTTGTGGGTGCCCCATCCCTGGAAGTGTCGAAGGCCGGGTTGGATGAGGCTTTGGGCAACGTGGTGTAGTGGAGGGTTTCCCTGCCCATGGCAGGGGGGTTGGAACTAGATGATCCCTTCCAATCCTAACCCTTCTATGATTCTATGATCTTGAGCACAGATCAGGCCATCACCATTGGAATATCCACCAACAAAGGAAGACCATTTTGCCAGCTTACAACATGTCGTCCAGACAGTGCCCTTGCTCAGTATGTAAGAAGTTTTTTTGTTGTCACTGACTTCCTTCCTCCACAAAAGCACTATCAGTCAGCAA